TAAGCAGTAAAGAAATCGTAAGATTGGATTCGCTACTGGCCTTACGGTCTCTATCGTGATTGACCAATTCGCTTACTGATTATGTCTTACGGCCTTACGTTTTTGTATGTGCCATGGGCTTTAATCTTACACCGTGGCATGCAGCGGGTGTGCATGAAGAGAAAGGGCTATGGCAGAGAACGAGACGTAACGAGACGTAAGTTCCGTAGTCGTAACGTAAGGTAAGGCAGAGAAAAACGTAGCTGTCGTAGTCGTGACTGGTCTGGAATGGTCGGTAAAGTGTGTCAGAGCGACGAGGTGAGTAATATTAATGCACGTTTATACGTCTTAATAGTTAATAAGGAAATATATACACACTAAAACAAAATAAAAATAGATTAAAAATGTGTTAAGGACATTTTTTGTTAGTAATTAACAATGTACATACATACTTCGAAAAATATTGGTTAACCTCTAAAATAATAATTACGTACTATTATGATTATTTCAGGAGGTGGAAACAAATATCATTATATCTTTAAAAATAAATCTATTTTTATTTTGTTTTAGTGTGTATATATTTCCTTATTAACTATTAAGACGTATAAACGTGCATTAATATTACTCACCTCGTCGCTCTGACACACTTTACCGACCATTCCAGACCAGTCACGACTACGACAGCTACGTTTTTCTCTGCCTTACCTTACGTTACGCCTACGGAACTTACGTCTCGTTACGTCTCGTTCTCTGCCATAGCCCAAACGGAACGAACTTCTATGCTTCTATGCGCATCATGCAAGAAACGGAACGCACCCAAAGTCTTCGTCACATGCAGGCCTCCAAAAAAAAATGCTATAGCGCCGCCATTTTGTTTTTTAGAATTATAATTTTTTATACATTTTGAACATCAAAATAACAAACAGGTATAAAAGATTTTTTCTATCATGTATAGTTTTTTAATAATCACTTCTCAAAGTAAGGTATGATTTTGAGGCCTCCAGGGTGGAATAACCCCTTAAGGATAGATCCTCTAGCTTCTACAAAATACGGAATATTATCCAGAGCTATGAAAATTGCACAGGATCAAAGTTCTGTCGTTCTGTGGGCCTCCCCACAGTTCACGCATTTGTGTACAGCGGAATATGGAGTCTCTTTTGAATAAGCGTGTTCTTTATCGCAGTACAGAAAACGAGACAACGCTCAACGCTGTTGCCTTTCGCAGTTCTTACATGTTCAGTGGTACGAATATAGATGAGTGAATAACTGTGAATAAACTATAAGAAGCAAAAATTGATTTTGTCATTGAAAATGAACTTGGAACTATTAGGTAAATAAACAATTATGAGATGTGCGTAATAAATAATAAAATTAGTAGGTAATTATTTAGAATACCCCTCCGACCTAAAATCTTAATAAAAATATACTCATTCGACGTGTTTTCACTCAAAACGAAAGAATCTGGCAGAAAAACGCGGCGGTCGGCGAATTTGTGTAATTAAAGCAGAATGTACACATAGTGCTATATCGAGTCGGGATGACAGATATCTTAACCTCTAAAGTCTTGAACTTTAACGCTTAATAACTTGATTCGCGAGGCCGACCGCGTTTTTCTGCCAGATTCTTCGTTTTGAGTGAAAACGCGTCGAATGAGTATATTTTTATTAAGATTTTAGGTGGGAGGAGTATTTTAAATAATTACCAATTACTTAGTATTTTCTAGTCTTAAGTTATTTTGCCTTATTTATACTTCAACAATTATATACATATTTTTTACAGAGTCATTTGGTCAAAACTATCCAGAGGTACGTCTACAATATTAATTGTGATTTTATTATTATGAAGTAATTAGATTTGTAAACATTTTTAATAATTATTCCTATTAGGAATTTGATGGTACATTAGATTGTATATCTCTTGCTGTAACTTGTACATTTAATAAAAGAGGAACATTACTTGCTGTCGGATGCAACGATGGAAGAATAGTTATTTGGGATTTTCTAACTCGTGGTATAGCTAAAATTATTAGTGCTCATGTACATCCAGTATGTTCATTGAGGTAAATGTTACAGACAGCTTGTAAGTCTGGTTAAGATAGGTTGTGTATAACTTTGTAATATTGTGTGTGTGTATTTCATAGTTTAAATAAAAAGTGATTGATTTAAGGTGGTTCTACATTAAAGTGCTGAAAAAATTTGGGTGCCTCACTAGGGTTTACCCAAAATCACAAATATCTGCACAATTTGGATAAAATATTAAAACTACATGTATATCTTAATGAAATAGTATGAAATATATGATAGTAAATTAAGAGTCGCATCTTCACCAAATGAAAATACTGTAATGTTATGTTTATTTTTCAAAATTAAATTTATATGCAAATTGATGCATATAAATGTCTGTCCAGAATGGCATATTATTTTTTTGTGATCAATGATCATTACAATTGTAATTTTTTTAACTATTATAATTTTGTTTTTTTAGAGAAATCTATGGTAATGTTTGTGTGCAGTTAGTCAAAGAAGCACCTCTGACCCATATGTGTAACTAGATTATACATTAAAAGTTACATTTTCAATATTTTTGTTCTCTTGTTTCATCGTTAACCTACCATAGAATTTTACACACGTCAAGTATGATACTTCAATTTCATTATGTTAAAAAATTAAACATTTCTATGATAACTCGACTTACTGAGAATCACCTTAAAAGACGATACAATAAAAATGGTTTGGAGGAAATACACAATACTAAATCTCAAAATATCAATTATATTTTTTAGTTGGTCTAGAAACGGTCATAAGTTATTAAGTGCATCAACCGACAATAATGTATGCATATGGGATGTTTTATCTGGAGAATGTGATCAGAAATATAGATTCCCTTCTCCGATATTAAAAATACAGTTTCATCCAAGAAATCTCAACAAGTTTTTAGTATGCCCAATGCGTCATGCTGCTGTTATGGTTGATGTCGAAGGAACACACAGAGTTATACCACTTGATGAAGATGTATGTAAATGATATATTTTGATATTATTGCCATTCACACATAATTAATATACTAATTTCACTAATGTACCAATATTTGTTATGTACATATACCTATGTGTGTGTGTGTGTGTGTGTATATGTTCATATATATTTGTGAAAATTGACAAAAGATAAAGTATTGCTTCTTAACTGATGGAATCAATTTTTATTAGCAAAATGTCAATAATGTTAAAAAAGATCAATTAAATCTTTTTGATATTTTATGTAAAAAAATGTTTAGAGATTTATTTTTTTAAGTATTCCTATTGAATTTAATTGAATTTATGATAAGAGACTAAAGCTGATAAAAATAAAATTGCTCCAATTTCAGAGTGATTTAAACATAGTAGCATCATTTGACCGACGAGGAGATTACGTGTATACAGGGAACGCTCGTGGTAGAGTTTTAGTTCTTGACGCTGAGACATTAAATGTAAAAGCCTCTTACAAAATAACGCAAGGCACTGCTAGTAACACAGCAGTAAAAAGTATAGAGTTTGCACGGCGAGGCTCCTGTTTTCTAGTTAATACCGCTGATAGAGTAATTCGTGTATATGATAGTACTGAAATATTAGCGTGTGGCAAAGATGGTGAACCTGAGCCAATACAAAAATTGCAAGATCTTGTAAACAAAACAATGTGGAAAAAATGTTGCTTTTCTGGTGATGGAGAATATGTGTGTGCCGGATCAGCAAGACAACATGCATTGTATGTATGGGAAAAAAGCATAGGAAATTTAGTGAAAATTTTACATGGGACCAAAGGCGAACTTTTACTCGATGTTGTGGTAAGAAAATCGAATTTATAATTGTCATCATATTTTTTTGACTAAAATTTAATATGATAATATTATAAAACTGCTCATGCTACGCAATGTCTTCTATTTCTTCCTCTATCTCTATAGTGGCATCCAGTCAGGCCGATAATCGCATCTATATCGTCAGGTGTAGTTTCTATTTGGGCACAAAATCAAGTAGAGAATTGGTCTGCGTTCGCGCCGGATTTCAAAGAGTTGGATGAAAACGTTGAATATGAAGAAAGGGAAAGTGAATTCGATTTGAGCGACGAAGATAAGTCTGTCGTTCAAGGAGAAGAGGCTCAGGATGAAGAAATAGAGGTTGACGTTGCATCAATTGACAGAGTTGCTGCATTTTGCAGCTCTGACGAAGAAACTGAAGATATTGGTTCACTTCAATTTTTACCTATATCTCCAGATGTGGAAGATTCCGAAGATAATCAAGTAATGCCACATGAACCGCCAATGAAGAAACATCGTTCACACGATATAGATTTACAGGGAGCACCGACTGATGGTAAGATCTCACATACATTAAAGGCAAAAACATAGAGAACAGACTGCGCAACCCACGGCGTGTGTCAAAATGATAAATAAAAATAAGAGAGAGGGACTGGAGAGGGACGGCTGATCTCTATCTCTTTCCACTTAACAGTGTAAAAAGGAGATTGACCGTCTTCCACGGTCTCTCTCTCTCTCTCCCCCCCCCTCCTTCTCTCATTATTGTCAACCACATTTAAATACTATTTATTTAATTAGATAATTTACTTAATTAGATCGCGCAGTCCATTCTGTATGTTTTTGATTAAAAAGGTATGCTTGTAACAATTTTAAACCAGTTAGTAGTTGAATTTTTATATTGGTAGTCTGTGTGTGATAATAATTAATAAAATTTACAGAAACTCATCCCTTGCTAAATAAAGGAAAGGATAAGCCGACCACAAAAAAGGGAAGACCAAGACTTGAATATAAAAAGGGAAAGTAATCTAATATGTGAGAGAGATCGATAATAATAAAGAAATTCGCTTATTATTTATAATATAAAAATGTGAAAAATTCTTGACCATTTTAATAAGTTTTGATAAAAGCACAATGTATGATAAACATTAAATTGATTGTAACTAAAAATAATTAATTTTTAATCAGTCTTAAAAAACGACGATTCTATCATCGGACATCATCATCCGATGATTCCGTTATCTCAATAAAAATTACTTCATTCACCAACCCGATGCGCAACAGCGAAGTTACATCTGCAACGTTGCTACGATGATTCTATAACAAAAAGAATATAAAACAAGTTAAAACAGAATAGAAAAAATCAATCAATATTTAAAAAAATATTTACTAAACGCGAAGTTCTCTTGAATAATCATATAATTTTCAAAATATATAATTTTTATAAGAGCACCGAATTTTTTAATTCACCGTTCAGTTAGATATTTATAAAATTTCGAAATAATTTGAAAATAATCCTTTTTTCTAATTTTTTTTTTATCATTTTTTAATCGATGGCTGCGTTCAGCAGAACGTTCGTTTTGCAACTGTTGGAAGTTTCCTTCGAGCTGATTGGATCATACTTTTAGATCTAGAAGAATGGTCCTATCTCAATAGACAATCATAAAACGGTTGCAAAACTGTTGAGTCTGCTGAACGCAGCCATTGTATAATAAAACAACTAAAGAATAAACAGAAGAAAAATACTGATATCATACAAGCAAAAATTGATATTTACCGCAAGGTTGTTCCGCCGGACATTAAGGTTTGTTCGCGTCGCAAGCTCCAACATGTTCCAATATGTTCCAATCATAGCTCCTATTCACTCTATCAAACGCGTTATGCGGGGTATACAATAGAAGTAGTAGCGGTAGTCGTAGAAAATTGACCAATCACAGTCGAATATGAGAAGAATAATCAACTGTGATTGGTCAATTATCTACGACTTAAGACCCTACGACCGCTACGACTTCTATTGTAGACCCTGCATAACTTGTCGTATTACCCCGGATCTACAATAGATGTTTTAAGTCTTAAGTCGTAAGAAATTGACCAATTACAGTCGAATTCGAGGAGAATAATCGACCATGATTCGTTCATTTCTTATGACTTAAGGCTTGGAATTTTATCCGGGGTTAGTATGAACGAAAGCATTGAAATCCTATGGTTGAACTTTACCGACACCGGCATAATGCGGAGTCTACAATAGAAGTCGTAGCAGTCGTAGGGTTTTAAGTCGTAGAAAATTGACCAATCACAGTCGAATATGAGAAGAATAATCAACTGT